CATGACACCCTGGGGTCCTGGGGTCTTCTTCCTGCAGTGGCCGGTCTTCAATGATGCAAAGAAAAGTGCCACGTGGTTACATGGGCAATGCCCTCTGCATCATTCTTCTGTGGGCTCAGGGTAGCTTGATGACATGTCCCCAGGGGTAATAAGTTGAAAGATGCTGGACTTCATTCAAACCGGAAGAGAAGTGGTGGCTGGGAACGAATGAAGATGTGGGGTGCAGCCTGCATAGAGGGTGGAGAGGCTAAATACTTCTCTGTTGCTTATGTTCATTTTAAGTATCTAATTAAACTTGCAAAACAGTAGTTTATTCCCAGCTCAATAAATAGTCTCTGGTTATTATTAAATAATCATTATCCAATCTGCGCACGGGTGTTATAAGCTCCATAGCTCTCACCTATGCAGGATACTTAAGTCTTAGAATTGTAGATCATCAATATAAAGTAAGCACAATTATGACAAGAGTTGGAAATGTGTTGCCTTGTAGGCAAGTCTGTCTAAAACTCTTTTCAACCTTCTGTCCTTTCTTTTCCTCTTCTACATGTAGCGTAAATCAACCAGGAATACTCTTTTTTTTTCACTCTTAGGTGTTAGTTAAAAACCCAGATGGCTCACCAGCAAATGGCATCCCAGTGGTGGCCAGTCCTGGGGATGGAAGAGGTGTTACTCTGGAAGACGGAACAGCTAAATTGGTAGTAAACACCGGTTCTGCTAGAAACCCCTTGAATATAAAGGTGAGTTTTTAAGGAAACCTGCTCTTAGAGAAGTACAGGGGTTGGCATTATTGACATCCCAGATAGCAAGGATAACTTGCCACAAACTTGTGTTCGGGTTAAATTGTAATTCTTGTTAACTTGCTGCACACATTCCTGGCACGTGGTAGACTTGCAGAACACTCGCAGCACAAGTTCTACTTGACACTTTTTGAATTTGTAGCAAATTTGCTTGGCAAGTCTACAGCAAGAGTCCTGCAGGTCTTAGCAAGAGCTCTGCAAGCTCGCTGGTCTGCAATTTCACTACATCGGGCTTTCTGGGTGTGAAAGACATAGACGAGCTGTCAGTGTGTGTGGTAGGGAATATCTTTCCTTCATTGCAAACAACTAAGAAAAAGAGGTTCCCAAGTCATCAGTTTAGCAAGTCATTTTCAAACTTGCAGCACAATTTCTTGCTATCTGGGATGTGGTGTTGGAAACGCTCTTTGTCACCCACCTAGAGTAGTAGCCTTAGTGTGCTGAACCTTCCCATGAGTGAAGGTGGGTTGAGGAATCAGCTGTATGTTACCACTTTACCCAGATTATATACCTCTTGCAACAAATCAACTTTCCTATCTAACAGGTGAAGACAGCTGTACTGGGACTAGAAGACAAACGCCAAGCCTCCGAGGAAGCCACATTGACCCCCTACCAACCACAAACTGGACAGGGAAACTATCTGCACATCACTGTTGGCTCCAATGTGGCAGAGCCAGGAAAGCAAATTTTCATAAACTTTAATGTACTGACCAGCAATCCTGCACACCAAAACAGTATACAGCATTTTACATACCTGGTAAGTTACAGTGCAACTGAAACCAAATCTTTGTTTTTATTTTTAGATGGAGCGTAGAGTGATCTGTGCCCTCATTAGGGAGATTCAAACTCTCTGTTTTTCCTGGTGATCATTATCACTGAAAGTAAATCCTAAATTTTGGGGCGCCACCAGAACAGGAATTGATGGGAACTCCACTCTGGTGACTTTTGACAGTGTTACCCCTGCACTGCAAGGGTTAAGTGCTTGTTTTGTCTTGAGGGTGCAAATAAAGTAGATATACTCACCTGATCCTCAGTCCAGGGACAGTCAGCTCTCACCTCTCTTCCCCTCGGATCCGACTGTGGAATGTTCCTCAGCGTCCTCACATCTAATGCAAGTCAATAGACCTGCATTAGACATGTCGACGTCAGCAGTCTTTAGACAACCGGAGTTTGGGGGAGAAGAGGCTGCGGGGATGGCCTAGCAGCTTGGCAGGACCGCCAATCAGGTGAGTATATCTTCTTTTTTTGAGCTCCTAGACCAAAACAAGCTCTACCCCCACACTGCAAGGGTTAGTTCTGTAATCCTGGAGTTCCCATTCCACCAACCACTGTCCTTTTTTTCACCCAGATCCTCAGCAAAGGCCGGATAATACAAGAGGGCAAGCAGAGGCGGGAGTCAGGTCAATCTCTTGTCACCAAGACCCTGATTGTTACAGAAGACTTAATCCCATCTTTCCGTATTGTGGCGTACTATATCATTGGAAGGGAGCTGGTGTCAGATTCCCTCTGGGTGGATGTGGTTGACGAATGCATGGGAAAGGTAAGGTGGTCAGTTTGGATGGAAGAAACATTTTGTACAGCAGCAGGCACATCTATGAATTGTGTAAAAGTTCACAATGTCAGGCCACTTTTTGAGAAGTTCCCAATTCATTAACACAAATATGGTTTTGCAGTGTCAACTGCAGGTAAGGGTAAATCTTCTCATCGGGACACCTGTTCCAGCGACAACTATCTAAGAGGGTATTTCCCTTCAATTTCTAAAGATCATCTAGACTCGCAGGGGTAGCCAAACTCCAGCACTCCAGCTGTAGTGACACTATAAATCCCATCATGCATCTGCCTATGGTCATAAGTCATGCCTGTGGCTATCAGAATCTTGCAATACCTCATGGAATTTGTAGTTGCACCACAGCTGGAGGGCCAGAGTCTATCTACCACTGATGTAGAGACAGGGGCGTCCCGAGGCCGGGTGTCACCCGAAGCGGGTACCTGGTGACACCCAGCCGTGACATCATCGCACATGCGCCACCATCTTGGGGATACCTGCCAGCGGCCATCTTGGTGATGGACGCCGGCCGAGAGAGGAGGGGACATTCCCTCCTCTTTCCTGCAACTGTCGGCTCTTAGTCCTTGACTTTTCAGAGTGGGTGACATCAAAATGACTGTCAGTAGAGATTTGTCTCATTTTCTTTTTGCATTGCCAGGGCATATGAGGGGAAATCAACTCAATTCCTGCTCTGGCTCTGGGACAGGAAATCTTCCCAAAAGATCTAAAACAAAAAAAATAAGTGCTGACACTAACCCTAAATTAAACTTTAACAGCTCACAAGCAATTTGGCTTTATATATACCCTACCCAACTTACATTTACGTTACATACTGTATACTTAACCTTACCCTTAAATTACTTACATTTAAAGCAGAACACTGGGCTCAAACTGTCATTTAACTATATTCCTTAATAACCACAAAGGCTATAAATCAACTTTGGGTGCACCAAATCTCTTGTGCAAACCCAGATATCATCACCACTGTGCTGTACATAGCCTGTAGAGAAAGCAGAGCTGTGCAAGGGACCCAGCAGGCCCCACCCACAACAGGAAACTACAGGAGGGGGCAGAGAAGAAAAGAGATCAGCAGTGGCTGGTCTTTATTACAGCAATCTATAAGATTCACTCTGGGTTATGGCACAGATCTGAATTAAATACACAAAGCTCACCAAGATCCAAGGAAGAATACAAATGACTCTTGGATTTCAAAGAGATTTATTTATCCCGGAGTTCAGCATTTTTTATTAATAAGCTCTAGTTTTCCACTTTAAAAATACTAAAAGAAAAACAGCAAAATACAAGCAACATTTTGCAAGCAATGTAACATGGACATAGGAGAAATGCAGAAAAAACAAAAAAGCGCCAGAGGGGACTGCTCAACCAGTACAAACCAATGTACACATGAATAAAATTAGAATCAAAGTCTATTTGGAAATAGATGAATGGATAAAAAATTGGTGAATGAATAAAATAAAAAACACGTTTAAAAGATGTGTGTCTGTAGGATGCTGCCCCAAATCAGCCGGGGAGACTGTAAATCTAGGGAAAAAACACAAACATGTTTTATATGTTTCTTCAATTCTGATCTTATTAAATTTGTCTGCACCAGGAAAGGCGCCCCTTGTTTGTGTTTTTTCCATAGGAGAAATGCACTTAGGTAGTTGGGCTGGTGGAACAGAGCTTGATGTCCCATGCATGGGTCCAGGGGACGGTAGTATAAACCAGAGTATGCTATGCGGAAAGTTCCATCACCTTGTGCAATAAGGAGCGTAAAGAGTAGTAGCGGGGGTGAGGAGGATTAGAGGAATTGGGGGAGAGGGACAGGAGCAGGGGGAAAAGGGTAGGAGGAGAGAAAAGGGAAGTAGGGGAGGAAGGCAAGAAAAAAAAAAGGGGGGGGGGAGGAAGAAAGAGATATGGGAGGGGATCATTAAAATTGTTAAAAACCAGAGATATGCAACAAAACAAAAGAAGAACAATGTAGACCAGCCAGGGGATCCACGGGCCAGATATGTCACCATTTTTTATCGTGAGGGGAATCAGGTGAAGAATCAGTGGTCATGGGAATCGGAGTTTTCCCCGTTGCACATATAAAATGGTAAGGGAGACTATCGAGAGGCTCATTGTACAACAATATCTCTTAGTTTGTTGGCTTAGGCATCAGAACTCGGGGATTGCAGTAATGTATTCTAATAGCCCAAGTATTATAAAATTTGTCATATCTATCATTGCAAGTAGAAACCCATTGCTCAGATTTCATGGTGTCCAAGACCAATCTGATCTATTCCTCCCTGGTGGGGACAGGGGCTTTTTTCCCAAAGCAGAGGGATCAAGCATTTAGCAGTGATCAGTGAGTGAGGAAGAGAGCTACATCTATATCAGGACATGGAAGGAGGTACAGAATGCAAAAGGAAGGGCGGCAGAAGAATTGACAACTGGATACCCAGGATGCGTTCAATCTGATTTCTAACATCCTGTCAGAACAGTCTAATTTTGGGGCATTCCCACCACACATGTTGTTGGGTACCAACCATACCACAACCACAACAACACAAAGGAGACACAGTGCTAGAGTTTAGTTTTAAGTCCTATTTCCGACTGGACATTGGAGGTTGTCCAGTCATATTGTACTGTGTGTGGTCAGTTTATTAAGAAGACAGGAAGTAAAGCCTACTGAAAAAGATTGGCTACAGTCAAGTCATTTGTCATGTGTCGTTTTCTTTTTCTCTGCTGGAACCTATAACCAGCTGGAGGTGACCAGCAACAAGAGGAGTACAGAACCAGGAAAGCCTGTAACTTTGACTCTGAAGGCAGATCCTGATTCTCACGTGGGATTGGTGGCTGTAGATAAAGGAATATTTGTACTGAACAAGAAGAATAAAATAACCCAGACTAAGGTAAGGACTTTATTGTGTGGCATTGCGCAATGTTTAATTATTTTCACTCCATCTATTGTTCATAAATGGAGTGTATGGTGGTTTTGTATTATTTTATTTCTGGTTTCTTATTTATTATGGTCAGGTCCGAATGTTTCTTTTTTTAACTAAGTAAATAAGTAATAAACTATAATGAATATTTTATATTCTTATTTAAGTAAGCAAGTGGAGCGCCGGGTTTTCACATGTTTTCATGGCTGGCCTTATATGCTTTGCACACACAAAAAAAATGTTTACAGAGCTCAGTATCTCAAGCTGAAATTTACACACACAGGTTAATGAGCCAGTGCAGTGACTTCTACTCCTCCTCACCTCCACCCCTTTAGTTCAAAAACATATAAAATAGAACTTACCACAACCATTATATATTCCTTTTTAATGCTGTAAGCACAAGATACCTACCAATGTTCTGAGGTGGGAACAATAGGCACCTTAGTTACCAGTCTGGACTAGACTGTAAGGACAATATTCCCAAAAATGTTCTGAGATGGCAAAAAGAGGCACCTTAGTTACCAGTCTATAAAAGACTGCAAGGACAATGTTCCTACCGACGTTCTGAGATGGCAACAAGAGGAATCCTAGTGACCAGTCTATAGTAGACTGTAAGGACAATATTACTACCAATGTTCTGAGATGGGAAAAAGAGGCACCTTAGTCACCAGTCTATAAAATACTGCAAGGACAATGTTCCTACCAACACCCTGAGATGGGAACAAGAGGCACCCTAGTTATCAGTCTATAGTAGACTGTAAGGACAATGTTCCTACCAACACCCTGAGATGGGAAAAAGAGGCACCCTAGTTACCAGTCTATAATAGACTGTAAGGACAATATTTCCACCAACACCCTGACCCTGAGATGGGAACAAGAGGCACTCTAGTTATCAGTCTATAGTAGACTGTAAGGTCAATATTCCTACCAGCCTTCTAGATGGGAACAAGATGCACCATATTTACTAGTCTATAACAGAATATAAGGACAATATTCCCACCAACATTTTGAGATGTAAACAAGAGGCGCCTTGATTACCAGTCTATAATAGCTCTAGTGTGGCTGAGTATATTACATATTATTGTCCGAGCTTTTCTATCCTGGTGACAAATGCACCTCCTATTTTTGGTTCAGGCGTCACAAAGACAGTAAGTGAGGGAAACACTCCCCAGTGTGTCACAGACAGAATTAAAAGACTGACAGAAATGTTTTTACTTTTTTCATCTCCATAAAAAAAAAATAGCCATTGATCAGCTTTAACGTGACCCTGTGCTTCTGTTAGTTCAGTTATACTGACCTATGGGTCTTTTGATACATTCAAACTTCAACACCGAGCCCACCCGTGGAGCCTATGCATAGGTTATCTTGATACTATTTGATTTCGTACAGGCTCATAGGGGGTGGCCCTCAGTTTTTCACAGTTAACATATTATGTTCAGATTTCTGGTAATGCATTGCATTAGCTATTATGTAACTGTCATGGTGTAACCCATCAGTCGACCGTTCTAATGATGTACCGTAATGTTTTTCCCACACGCACCTTTTGGTAGTGTCTCCTTGTGGATGGAATGTATTTCTGTTCTTGTTTTTTCCTCAATAAAAATATTTCAATATTTAACAAACTTCAACACAGGCCATAGCAAAAGTTTGTGAAATCTAAAATGTTCCATCTCTTAGGTGTGGGACATTGTGGAGAGGTCTGACATTGGCTGCACTCCAGGAAGCGGTGCTAATAACATAGATGTATTCTATGATGCTGGACTTGCTGTACAATCAAATTTTGGAATAGTCACTAAACAAAGAGATGGTATGTACAATGTATTGCTTTAAAGCATCACCTTATCTTATCTTACTCCCAAGGCACTAAGCTTGTTGTTGTCTCTAATATATTAACCCTATTCTAATGCGTTGATAGTATTTTCAACTCATTTGCTAAACTTCATCCTTGGCTCTCCTAAAGAAAACACGTTTGTTAATGAGCTATATTAATCTTTTAACAGTGGCATTCTGGCACATGTGAAATATAAAGTACAGGCACAATCCTTTAGAATAAACACCCATAGACCACAAACCCTATAGGACCTTGTGATGCACCTAGCCAAAGGAGAATATGAACTGCCAGACTCTGTTTTTGTTTAACTCATTTCAATAAGAAAGCCCAGCATTATGTGCTCTTCATCACATCTATATGATCTTGTGGGAGATTCTAATCTAAAACCATAGTCATTAATATGAATTTGCCCTCTCCTCTCCCCCATTCCACCTTGTGTGGCTATAATAGCTGGGAAAGCTCAGAGCTGTCCCCATGATTTTTGAGTCTTTCTGTGGGAATTTTGCCCATTCCCCCAAAAGAGCATTTGTGAGGTCAGACTGATGTTAGACGAGAATATCTAGCTCATAACCAGCATACCGAATATCCCAAAGGGTTAAGCTCAGGTTACAGGGTACAGGTCCTCCAGTTCCTCCATACAAAACTCTTCCCATCATGCTTTGAGTTGATTTTTTTAGTTGTTAAAAATGATGTAATATCTTCATCTACACAGAGGCATCATGCGCAAACAGCAAAAGCCGCAAGCGTAGGTCATCTGTGGCATTGATCGATCTAAAGAACAACAAAGGTGAGCAGAGAAATGACTTCATGGGTCAGTCTTCTGAAACCCTAAGCAAACAGCTAAATACCTGTTTAAATTGCATTTATGTTTGTTGTTTTACCTGCAAAGGTGTCTGTAATTTGACCAGTCGATCCTACGATACACCTCTGTAGGCAAGTAAGGTCACCCTGCAATTACCTGTTGTAGCGATATTGTCTTCTGGGTCAACTCCCTATATATTGGATGGAAGTGATGATACCGATGTACTGTGAATCATATGAACTAAATTAATTTACTTTTGAATGAATAATCATAATCATACATTTCCCAGTCTGTGTTGAATTATTAACTGTTATGTTGACATGTTATGTCCCTAAAGAAGGAGATGCAGGTCTCTGAAACATGTTGGCTGACTATTAGATCTTCACTGAGATCTTCTACATGATTAAAGAGATTAGTGCTTGGCTCCTCTAAATAGAGCTGAGCTCTTGAGATTCCTTATTCCTTCTATTTTCTTTACGTCATCCCCAATTTATGTAAAAAATGGCTGGAGTTAGGCTTCAAATTGAATTGTTCCTGTTTCTTAAAGCTATGAATTACAACGAGAAGCAGGAAAAGCAGTGCTGCCACGATGGTATGACCAGCAATCCCATGGGCCACAGCTGTGAGCGTCGAGCCAAACATATCCTACTGGGAGAGAAATGTAGAGAAGTGTTCTTGGACTGCTGCAAATACATTGAACTGAAGATCAAGATCGAGAAGGAATTGGATGGTGGCTTGGAGAGGAGTGAGTATTATTATTATACAGGATTTATATAGCGCCAACAGTTTGCGCAGCGCTGTACAGTATAAGGAAGACATTACAATCACAATACAATTAAAGACAAGGTAGTAAGGAGGGCCCTGCCCATGAGGGCTTACAATCAAAAAGGGAGGGGCAAGTGATACATGAGGAGGTAGCTGTGTGGGGATGGACTTTTTGAGAATGAGTAGACAGTAATCAGGAAACTAGGATGATGAATCGGGACCTAGCTCAGTCTGACACATATCTTGGTATGACCCCACTGTTTAACAACTGTATGGCACACATTGCCTACGGAAATAATGTGGGGGAGGTGCCAAAATACTAAAGCCCAACTGTTGGGGTCTAGGCTTACTCAGCACAGCTAAGTTTCCTGGCCACAGTTTTTAAAAAACACATATAAGGCTACTTACAACAAACTGATCTCTTTTACATTTTACATGTTTAACAGTAAACATGAAAATAGATATGCATTCCCTAGAGCAGCGGTTCTCAACCTGTGGGTCGGGACCCCTTCGGGGGTCGAATGACGATTTGCCAGGGGTCGCCCGGGAGTCTCCTGCTGTTAGATAACGGCTCCCGGCCGCCTGGAGAGAAACACTTTCTCCCGAGCAGAGTAAACCTTTTTTGTCTGACATTGGGGGCCCTAGCCGCCGTAAGTCAGGAAAAAAAAAACACCCGAGGAATGCATAGCTACATTCCTATTGGCTATTTCACTTTGCAATAGCCAATAGCAAACTAGCTATTGCACCCGCCCTCTGCTGCTGCCAATCAGCAAAGGGGGACCTGAAGTTCTCCATCAGGTCCCCACTACTGATTGACAGCAGCAGAGGGCGGGTGCAATAGCTAGTTTGCTATTGGCTATTGCAAAGTGAAATAGCCAATATGAATCTAGCTATGCATTCCTTGGGTATTTTTTTTTGTTTTTTTATTCTGACGGCGTACACTAGTGGTTCTGAACCTGTGGGTCGCTGTGTGATTTCTGCTGTGCTAGGGGAGAGTCCTCCTCAGCCCTCTCCTAGCGCAGCAGTGTCAGTTCTCCCGCCAGATGTCGCTGCAGCAGCCGCGTCATTCCTAAATTTTACCGTTGGGGGTCACCACAACTTGGCAAATGTTACCAAGGGGTCCCGGCCCTAGGAAGGTTGAGAACCACTGCCCTAGAGGCACCTACAGGCAACTTTAGAGCCTTTGGTATGGTTACCACCCTCCATTTTAAGTGGTCTGTCCCCGGGAAATGGACATCCCCAGAACTGTCCTCAGCCACCCGATATTGCACATGCCCTGGGTTCCACTTGAAGGGGGGCCGCTGCTCAATGGATCTGTGAAAGTTCTCCGACTCACAGAGACAACAGAGACAGCAGACTGCTGCTGTCATTATTTAACCGCCCACCACTGGTGGTTGGTTACTAGCACCACCCGGCATCCTACCAATCCAACCGATCCAACCGGCATCCAAACAATTATATGCTCTGCCTCCTGTGCTCCAGCACCCAGCTTCTGCCTGAGGACTCTGTGGACGCTCATGTAAGGGGAAGCTCTGTGGACGCTCATGTAAGGGGAAGCTCTGTGGACACTGATGTAATTCCTGATCACTACATGCTGTGCTACACACTCCTGACCCATGCATCTGTGTCACACACTTCTGACCTCTGCACTCTCTGCATTATGTGCTTCTGACCCCTTCGCTCCATGCATTTTGCACTCCTGACCCCTGCACTCCATGCGCTACATACTCCTGATGCCTGCACTCTGTGAGTTCGACACTCTTGACCCATAGCAGAGTAGCCTCAGGTTTTATTTAACCATATCCTTTCAACTACTCCTATTGCTATGGCAGGTGCCAAGGGCATTGTCTTTATATCTTGAATATTTGCATCTTGTTCCAAAAGTCTGTGACCATTTTTTTTAGGGCATGCCAAAAATGGGGGTGTGATTTCATAGGTGTGGCTACATATGAGGGTATGGTTAACAGGGGGCATGGTTAGTAGGTGTCCCTAGATTAAATTTTGAAAATATGGCAACCGTAGCTTTTAGGCAACTTTTAGAGAGTTGGGAGGGCAGCTAATAGAAGGGATGTTATGTGTTTTTTTTTTATACATGTTGTTCTTGTATTTTTATTTTGTTCAGAATATACATTGTGTACTTCATTATTTAAATATGGAATACTACATTCACATTTATTACAACTTTAAACCAGCAGGCGATGAGCTTTATACAAGAGTTGTAGCTTTTTGGAGGCTCTTTTAACATCTGAAAAAAGACCCTGTACATCAGGGAGATCATATGGCCACTGCTGTTCTAGCAGAGCAAGCCAGACTTGACCCATGTTACATAGTTACATAGTATTTGAGGTTGAATAAAGACATTAGTCCATCAGGTCCAACCTATGGGATCTCCTTCTTAGGAGTACCCGTACCCCTGTATATTGCGGTCCCTTAAAAAATCGTCCAAAAGTTTCTTGAACAACTCCACATTTTTTTCTGAAATCACTGCAGTGAGTTCCAGACCTAACCGCTCTAACTGTAAAGAACCCCCTTCGCCCCTTGTGCTGGAATTTTTTTTCCACCAATTTTAGGTTATGGCCTCTAGTTTTTGTAATGGAGTTAATTTTAAATAGTTTATCACTAATGTTGCTACCACCATTGAACATTTTGTACATGGAAATCATATACCCCCTTAATCTCCTCACCTCCAATGTGAACATGTTTAAATTTAGTAGCCTCGTCTCGTAGCTCTGGTCCTCCATACCCCTAATTAGTTTGGTTGCCCTCCGCTGGACATTTTCCAGCTCAAGGACATCTTTTCTTAGTACTGGTGACCAGAACTGGACCGCATACTCCAGATGCGGTCAAACCAATGATCTATAAAGTGGCAAAATTATTGACTTGCCCCTGCAATACATCCCCTTTTTAATACAGGACAAGACCCTGCTAGCTTTGTTTACAGCAGCCTGGCACTGCAAACTACCTTTCAGTTTGTGGTCTACAATGACCCCCAAATCCTTCTCCATTTCTGACTTCTCCAGCGGCACCCCCATAATTGTATAACCCATTTGTTTATTTTTAATTCCAAAGTGCATTACTTTGCATTTATCGACATTAAACCTCATCTGCCACATTAATGCCCACTCCCCTATTTTATCCAGGTCCTCCTGTAATGTTATAGTGTCTAAGTCCGTGTCTATTACCCTCCCAATTTTGGTGTCATCCGCAAACACGGAAATATCGCTGTTAACACCCTCCCCTCCCCCCATGTCATTAATAAATAAGTTGAACAATATAGGACCCAGCACAGAACCCTGAGGCACACCGCTCATTACACTAGCCCACTCTGAAAAGGTGCCATTTACAGATACCCTCTGGACACGTTCCCGTAGCCAGTTCTCTATCCACGTACACACCACCTCATCTATGCCCATAGCCCTCAGCTTGTGTAGCAAGCGTTTGTGTGGTACCGTATCAAAAGCCTTTGAGAAATCCAGATATACCACATCCACCGGCTTACCTCCATCCATATCTCTACTCACCCCCTCATAAAAAGTTAGCAGGTTAGTCAGGCAGGAACGGTCTTTCCTGAACCCATGCTGATTGTCATTAACTATCCCATTTTCCTGAACAAAATCTACCAGATAATCCTTTATTATACCCTCTAGCAGTTTACAAACTACCGATGTTAGTCATTGACATTGCTATAAAAGGGTGTCTCCAAGTATGCAAACAGTGCTGGGTTTCCTAATCAATGGAGACTTAGCTTGGTGAAAGCCATTTAAAAGGGGATTTTCCCTCCCTTTAGAGAGGTTTTCCAACATGTCCTGCTGTATCTTCAGGACATGAAATGAAGAGAAATCTCCCCAATTGGATGCAGAATATAAAAAAATATACTGTATAATAGACATGAGTTTTAGCCACTCTCTTCTCTATACCACTCGAACAAAACCTAAAGTTTTGGCTATAGGTACACTTAAGTCATGACCATTCTGACATATATTTGAGACTTTGACTAATCCGCTTCCTCCTTCCAGGTGACCAAGATGCCGAATACATAAATGAAGGAGAGATTTTGGTCCGGAGTGAATTTCCAGAGAGCTGGCTGTGGAATATTATCAAAATTACAGAAAGAGCCAATGCAAATGGGTGAGTGTCTGACATATACAATATGTCACAGACTTCATCGAGGAACGCACATGAGTACAGAATCAACCATGCCACAGTTGCTGGCCTGCAACAAGGTCCATTAAATTTGATGTTAAATAAAAAGGTCTCAAATGAATACATTTGTGTATATTTCATAACAATAACTCCGAATAAATAGTCGTCCTTTAACATGTTCATCTTTCTTCAGTGTTTCCACGCAGCTTGTGAAAGACAGATTCCTAAAAGATTCAATCACCACATGGGAGATTCTCGCTGTGAGCTTATCAAAAACTAAAGGTAATAAATACTTTCAAACTTTACATGTCTGCTCTATTATTATGATTATACAGGATTTATATAGCCAACAGTTTTTGGCAGCGCTTTACAAAATTGAGGGAGACAATACAATTAACAATACAATTTCAGTACAGGAGGGTTAGGAGAGCCCTGCTCGTGAGAGCTTACAATCTATTAGGAGGGGCAAGTGATACAAAAAGTAATAAATGGGTGGGAGGATTTAATAAAAGAACTGAAAGGACTGTTATATTGGGGTGGAATAGGCTTCCCTGAAGAGAGATGAGTTTAAGGATCGCCTAAAAGGTGGGCAGAGTAGCAGATACGTGGACAGATTGGGGTAGGGAGTTCCATAGAATGGGAGACACTCTAGAAAATTTCTGGAGGCGAGCAATGTGAGGAGGTGACAAGAGAGCTGGAGAGCAGGAGGTCTTGGGAAGAGCAAAGGTGGCGGTTTGGGTGATATTTTGAGATAAGGTGTGATGTAGGTTGGGGCGGATTTGTAGATGACTTTGTAGGTTTTTGTTACTACTTTGAATGTTATACGTTGGGGAAGTGGTAGCCAGTGGAGCGATTGGCAGAGAGGGGTGGCAGACACCGATTGGTTGGTAAGGTGAATGAGTCTGGCAGCAGCATTCATAATGGACTGAAAGGGGGATAGCCTGCTTAGTGTTAGGCCAACAAGGAGGGAGTTGCAGTAGTCAAGGTGAGATATTACAATGGAGTGAATTAGAAGCTTTGCGGTATTATTTGTTAAGAAAAGACGAATTTTGGAAATGTTACGGAGGTTGGGTCGGTAAGATTTGGATAGTGATTGGATGTGGGGCTGAAAGGAGAGCTCAAAATCAAGGATTACTCCGAGCACCCTGGCTTGATGGGAGGGGTTGATCGTAGTGCTGTTGTGATGGAGAAGTTGGGGTAGGGGACACGGATGAGGAGGAAATATTATAAGCTTAGTTTTGGACAGATTTAGTTGTGACATCCATGTCGATAAGTCAGAGAGTAGGTTAGTGATGTGTGAGGACATAGAAGGAGTGAGCTGAGGGGTAGAGAGCTATATTTGGGTGTCATCAGCATAGAGATGGTAACGAAAACCATGGGAGGTTATCCATTGACCTAGGGAGGAGGTGTAGATGGAGAATAGAAGAAGCCAGAGGACAGAGCCTTGGGGGACTCCTATGGAGCGGAGGAAGAAGAGTTATAGGTAACACTGAAGATGCGCTGGGATAGGTAGGAGGTGAAGACAACAGAGTCTTTGAGGCCAAGGGATTGAAGTTTATTGAGAAGTACGTGGTCAACCATGTCAAAAGAAGCAAAAAGGTCCAGGAGCATGAGTACAGAGTAGTGGCTCTACTATATTTTCGGTATTGAATGACATATACCATTCATTGAAAATAATTAAAAGGAGAACTATGAGCTCATAGTTCGAGCCGACGTGTGACAATGAAACCCCCTCCCCTGTCCGATCCTCCAGTGCTGACTGGCGGAACGGATGGGGGAGGGGCGGGTACAGCTGGCTCTGCCTCTAAATAGGCAGAGCCAGCTGTCACTCACGCAGCTGGGTGGATCAGTATCGTCGGGATCCGTCCCGGCTGCGGCGTCTCAGTATACCGCAAGCTGTCGCTTGCGGTATACTGAGCTTTGGGTGGAGGGAGGATGCTAGTTTGTGTCCTCCCGTTACTCTTAGGAGAACTATGGGGAAAAGCCCTGACCCCATAGTTCTCCTTTAAGGTGATCAAAATTCATCAATGGAAACCAATTAAAACAAAGCGCCTGTTTTATACAAAAGGTAAAGGTTCTTGTCAGCCATAGCACCATTCAACTTTCAACTATAATTTTACATTATGAAGGGATTTTGGGGATCACATGACCCCTCTCTTGACATGTGTTCTTACAGTACAACTTTCTTTTCCAAATAAAGTTTTTATTGGTTTACAAATGTAGAATACATCTTCACATACATTTATACAGTACAACTTTCTAATGATGCAGTTGATAGGGGAAGACACCTAAGCTATAAGGGTTAGTCCACCTAAGACTGATATTCCTGTCTTGGGTGGCTTCTGGTTGTTGAATCCTTACTGTCACGTATTGTCTGTGGTCCTTACAGCTAAGATGTCAGGTCCATTTTACGTGACATCGAACTTCATAGGAAAAAGGTAGAGTTGTCAGAACCAAGTTGTCTGAGGTAGAGTTGTCAGAACCAAGAATTTCCAGGAGACATCTTCCTGCTGGAAGCCCTAAGTGATAACCGAAGATAGTAGGTGGTTCAACTATTCAGGGTTCTTGCTTTTTCTTTCTATTGTGACATGTCAGGAATTCATACATACATGTCAGTTGACAGACTCTTTCAGATGGCTACAGTTGAGAGCAGAACTTTGAATTGCATCCTGAGGCCTCTGATTCTGCTGGCCATCTAATTATACAGATGTTTCCTTGGTCTTTCCCTAATCTTTATGTTTTATCTATGGATAGGCATCTGTGTGGCCAAGCCATTAGATATTCAGGCCTTCAAGAGTTTCTTTGTTGACCTGAGGCTGCCCTATTCGGTAGTGAAGAATGAACAGGTTGGAATACGGGCCGTAATCTATAACTACGAAGAGGATGAGCTCAAGGTAAATGAAAAAATCGGGGAAATCCTGTTTAGGTTACAACTAATTTAAAGGATAAATACCCAAGTGAGATCTTCACATGCACCTTACACCAGACGTCAACAACGATAGTAAATGAAAAGACCCTACACCTTCTGTTTGTACATTGTAGCTTTTTTGCTGAGCAGGATGCACAGAGCTGGCTCCAGTTGTACTCTTTTCTTGCCAATGGGCCATAGAGGATATTAGCTGTCTTTACAGATCTTGGCCGAGTCTCCATTTTAAGGGTACATCCAGCCAAAACTTTTTTCCATTTTGGATAGAGTGGGAAAGGATTAGAGCCCCTTTCAGGTTTTACAGTTATCTACGGCGCTACTAGAGAGTGTTTTCCTCTAACGTAATGTCTTAGTGGCAAGGGTTTCAAGTGAGGGAAAATCTGAGGTGAGATCAGGTAGGACAGGAGGTTAAGATTAAGTCATGACCGAAGTTGCACTGCAATGGAATGCACAGCTTTGCGTTCCGAAGTGGGCGATAGAACTGTGGGTGGGAGATGCATTTGGGGTGCCATTTAAATGAATGGCAATTCACTGCACCTCCCACACCAGAACGTGGTACTGTATGTTAATCGAATGGGACTGTACGATTAACGCATTGTACTAGTATAATTAAATGGGCCTTTCTGACACACACATATACACTCCCCCAAAATTTTCTTAAATCCACCCAGTCTCCTACCTTATGAGAACTGGAGTGGATCCTCAGCTTGTGTTATGTAGGAGCTCCATCCATATGTCCATCTACTTGCGCAGCTCCCTTGCACACACTGTAGAGGTGCCAGGAGCCAGAATGTGACATCACTCCGGTCCAGGCACCTCTACAGGACACGCAAGGGAGCTGTAAGCAATCCACATATGGAGGGAGCTCCCTCGCGGCCATAGCCCTAGCCCACCCCACCTTAAGCTGACACTCAGCATTGGGCAACATATTAAAGGAGAACTATGGGGTCAGGGCTTTTCCCCATAGTTCTCCTTAGGGTAACGGGAGGACACAAACTAGCGTCTACCCGTTACCCTAGGCTCAGTATACCGCAAGCTACAGCTGAAGCCGAAGCCAGAGCGGATCCCGACATCGATGTCTGGATCCGCCCAGCTGCGTGAGTGACAGTTGGCTCTGCCTATCTAGAGGCAGAGCCAGCTGTACCCGCCCCCTCCCCCGTCCGTTCCGTCAGTCAGCGCTGGCGGATCGGAGCGGGGAGGGGGGAATCCAGCCCCTCCCCTTTCACGGCCCGAGAGCCGTGACAGGATCGAGAGGTGAGCGAACGCCGGTATGTGTTCGCTCACCTCCCGATCTACTGAGCCGACCGGTGACAGTCTCATTGTCACAGGTCGGCTATAACTATGAGGTGAGTGAAAAGCACCCACCTCATAGTTCTCCTTTAAGAATGGCTGCTCGGTGCAAGAACTGTGCTGGGGGAGGGCTGAGGAGCCTCTCACCTAGAAAAGTAGAAGGCATGTGGGGACCCACTGAAGACCCACTAGTTGAGAACCAAGGCTTTAGACCAGTGGTTCTCAACCCGTGTAACCTCGGGACCCACATGTTTCCTTCTTCTGATATTATTGCGCCGGCCCGAAAGTGAGGAAATAGTCCCCCACTCCCCGGGCCATACCACTTTATCTGAGAGCCCGGGGGAGGCTGGGAGAGAGGGGACAGTTTGACATGAGGTTCCACAGGCTGAACCACAAATTCCCCATCTCTATTCAGTCTCAGGCCGGTCTATTCAGACATGACGCCGCGACCCACTGCAGAGGGTGTCGCGACCCACTTTTGGGTAGCGACCCACGAGTTGAGAACCACTGCTTTAGACTATATAAGCTGAAAGTAGGAGCAGGTAGCAGACAACCGTAATCTAGAGCCAAGTACAAAGTCAGTGCAGGAGACGAGCATTAAGCAGCAACCAAAATCTGTCTAAATCATAACCAGAGGCAACTAGGAGTAACAACCACCTCTGACCAGAGACTCCCAAAATGTTTTGAGCCCACTTTAAGCACTACTGATTTGGCTAGATGTGTAGCTGCAGTATTACCAAGCTGCTGTGCTGAATATTGTTCATGCATATATCTTCCAGGTGCGAGTGACCCTGACTTACAGCCCAGAATTCTGCAGCCATTCCACACCCACAAGGGCGTATACCCAAGAGGTCAAAGTGCAACCACGGTCATCTTTCTCAGTCCCATTTGTCATCGTTCCTCTCAATACCGGCATGCATGATGTGGAAGTCAAGGTGGCAGTCCACAGATCATTCGTGTCAGACGGTGTCAGGAAAAAGCTGAAGGTCGTGGTGAGTAAAAAGGGTTTGATGCAAATTTTTACACATGATGTACAAGAGATTACAATAACTGCCTTGGACAAGGAGCCTGATATAAACTTACACTGGAGAATGGACATGTCAATCTGATTGGCTGCTATGACAGATGGTTCTTCCTCCAGATATTTCAGTAGCAACGCTAATATTTTTTCACCTGACTACAAAGCATGTTTGAAAAAGAATGTAGGCCAGAACTTCCATCTTAAAGTGGAACTGTACCTAGACTGTTAAACAGAACTTATCTGCAGAGAGACCACTGCTTCCAAGTGTCCTTCTCTCCAGCCTCCTCCCAAAGGGCACGAGTTTCTACTCAGCCTATGGCAGCTTTCTAAAGAAAATGAGCTGTGCACCTTTTGTTTTAAGGGTCTATTTAAAAAGAATTCACAGAGGCATTTGACATACGAATCTTTCTAAACATTCACTCTGTGCGAAAAGATGAAAAGAACAAATGTATTTAGATATATTTTCTTTTCAGATTGTGTATGTAATACTGCATTTTGGCCTCTAGATGGAGCTCAGGAGCATTGCAAGTAAATGCCTATTTCCTAAGTGAAAAAAAACAAACATTCTTAGATATTTTCTTTTAAAAGTAGAACTATGGGGTCAGTGTTTTTCCCCATAGTTCTCTTTAGGGTCACGGGAGGACATAAACTAGTGTCCTCCCGTGACCCAAAGCTCAGTATACCGCCGCAGCCGGGACGGATCCCAACATTATTGTCGAGAACCACCCAGCTGCGTGAGTGACAGCGGGCTCTGCCTATCTGGAGGCAGAGCCAGCTGTACCCGCCCCCTCCTCTATCCGTTCCTCCAGTCAGCGCGGGAGGATTGGAGCGGGGAGGGGTGGGTGAGATTAATCCCTGCAGAGAGCCGTGACCGACAGTCACAGCTCTCTTCATGGAGATGATCGAGAAGTGAGTGAGCGACGGTATGGGTTTGCTCACTTCCGAATCGATTGAGATGACGTGTGACAGTTTCATTGTCACACGTCGGCTCGAACTATGAGTGGTTTTCACTCACCTCATAGTTCTCCTTTAAGGTTGAATGTATGTAATGTAAAAATGCATTGTGGCCAATATTTGGAGCTCAGGAGCATAGGAAATATGTATTTCCTTAGATAAAAAACTCTGCTCACTCCGCTGCCCCTCCTACGTGCCTGGGACCAGCATTGTGGGTGTCAGCGGGTAGCATGGAGAGAGAGCAGTGAACGTCCATTTGCTGATCTCCTACCTGCTGAATGAAGCCAGAAACGACAATGCCATTATCACTTCTGGTTTCTGAGATGTCATTGCCCGCTAGAGAAGCCGAGGAAGAAGCTGACCAAGCATGATCTGTGCTTAATCAGCTTAGATATTTTTATTTTCAGGTTGAGTGTATGTAATGTAATACTGCATTTTGGCCACTAGATGGAGCAGAGAACAAATGCCTCGTGGGATTTGCAGTGTCACCACAGTTGGAGGGCCAGAGTTTGCGTACCCCTGTCTTAAAATGTCATTTGTTTTGTTTGGGACAGTTTCTGTCCGCTTTTACATGTCCCTTTTCGTTTCAGCCTGAAGGAGTTCGTAGAGTGGTTAACATACTGTCTGAAATACTAGAGCCAGAGACAAGAGGCAGAAGTAAGTGCCATAACATGAACCCATGGCAACAGAAAAAAACATGAAAGTGCAGTTTGGAGTGTATTTAAAATAAGCAACGCAGAGCTATTCATAAAAATATGACTTTTACATTCCTAACACATTTCAACAACTAGATGGAACAAAGGAGCATAGGAATTGTCAATGTAGGCGGTGTCAATAGGCGGTGTCAATGTAAAAGTCAGATTGTCCAAGAAGGAACTGCTCTGTGAAAGTTCTACACATACTGTACATCCTTAAAATGTGTTTCCGTTCTTGCAGTCAAATGTTGAGAACCCCCCACTGTTTGTTGTGTGGTCCCATTTACAAAGCATACCTATAAATGTTTAAAAAAAAAAAAAAAAAAAAAACACCTTACCTTGCTACCTGTCTGTTTGGTGCAGGAGTAGGCTTCTCTCACACTAAATGTGAATGTACATTTTGGGATTCCTGCTGCAGGAACCTAGGGCTTCTTATCCCAAATATGCTATATAGAAGTGGTCGCTGTCACCCCTTCATGTTAATGATCGAATGACAGCGGCTTAAAAATGGCAACTTAAAAATGGCAGAACGCTGGCACAGGCGGCTTTACACAGGAAGCAAGTCGGGTGGCTGTAAAGCCACCTGATGGCTTCCAGGGGCTGGTAAACGTGCTTCCCCCACCCCCCACTCGACACCCAATATTCATGGTCTTGCTTCCTGGGCTCCTCTGCCCCTCCTACGTGTCCTACGTGTCTGGGACTGGCATTGTGGGTGTCACTGGGTAGAGGGCACAGAGACCAAAAAACATCCGTTTGCTGATCTCTTCCTGCTGAAGGACACCATAAATGTCATAATTTCTGGTTACGGAGCCATCATTCCCCGGCAGAGAGGAGGAGAAAAGCTGCCCAGGTGACATTAGGGGTCTAATAGACCCCTAAGGTCTCCTTAAAGAGTACCCATCAACACTAAAGTGCTATCACTTAGTGTCAGGGCCCGGCCTTGGAATAGTATAGTGGATCACAGCTGCGGTTCCAACTGGGGGTGTAGTGCGGTTGTCAGGCTTAAATCCCTGGCGGCTCTCTCAATCATAAACGGAGAGTAGGGGATTAAGTCATCATGGACCGCTAAATGGTAATCGGTAATAACCTTCGATGTAGTAAAGAATATTAACCCAATCCCTGATGTTGGCAATCCTATCTGGAATTGAGGTATAAGCGAATGGTAAAGTCTCTATGACAGATAACAGCAAATCTCCCCTTCATACAGCATAACTGGGTATAGTATTGAAAGATGAGAGAGGTGATACTCAAAGTCTCCACCAGAGGGCAGCGTGTATGAGCCAAGACACTTGCAAGATAGATCTATAGATACTTGCAGTTTGCTGGTAGGTGCAATCAGATTCCTCCAAGAGAAGTCCAGTGGATGCTGGCTGCTGGGGAGCTGTTTCATCCGTGAGGAGAGGTTCGAGGCGGCTGGTGAGGTTCCTGTGGGGTGTAAGGGCTATGATCCCAATCATCGAACACCCCACAGCATCTTTGGCAAGTTTAAATAGCCCGCGGCCGTGACGTCACGCGGCCGTGGGCTACTTCCGCTTCCAGCGTGGAACGCATATTACTTCCGTCAAGGGGGAGGAGGAGAGCGGCGTTCACCGCGGCCGATGCGCCCCAGCCTGGAACGCAGTCGGGAGGAGCCAGGAACCCGAGGGATATTACACTTAGGGGGCTAAAAACACCCCCCAAAAAATGTAAAGTCCCCCATCATCGCATACAAACACATGCTAAATCAAACACACATTGGCTGTTTCTACGTACGAAAATGACAACTGCACCACACATGTTAGGTATCACCACATACTCCACAGTGAGAGCAATAGCTAGTGCCAATATTCATGGTTAACTCTGGACTGATGACCTGTATGGACTTTTAAAGCGTTGTCTATGGGCAATTTCAGGTACCATAGTTTTTCACCATTTCACGTGCGCCCACAATTTTTAAGCTTGGCATGTTTGGTATCCATTTACTGTGCACAACCTCATCTCTCATATTTTACACAAATTGGGTACTATATTGTGTTTTTGTGCACTAAAAGTCACAAGTGCAATGTAAAATTGCAAAAAGTCACAAGTGCAACATGCAACGTAAAATTTGTAACTGCTGCCATTTTATTCTATAGGGTCTCTGCTTTTAGAAAATATATAATGGGGGGGGGGGGGGGGTCTGACAGCGATTTTAATATAGGAATATTAAAGTGTAACTGCAACCAATACGGCTATTTCAGGCTATGTCTATTTCAATCTCTGCAGGGATGTCCCAATACCACTTTTTTAAGACCAAGTACAAGTACTTTCCCCTCATGCCGATACCAATTACCAATACTTTTTCTTAAAGGGACATGTGGCATTTTTTTCTAAAACAATACAGACTGATGATTTTAGGGCAGTTTCTCACCAGGGATAATATGGACGTCACCAGAACTGAATACATGTCCCCAAAGCCGAACACATGTCCCCCACAGCAGAACACATGTCCCTAAGGCAGAATAGTATTCTGCTATGGGGACACAAGTTTTTTGCTTTGGGAACATGTGTTCTGCGAATACATGTCCCCAAAGCAGAATTCCTCTCACCAGGCTGCGTGTCGATCTCACCGGGCGACGTGGACATCTGCAGTGGCTCTGCGGGCACTTGTAACGATTCCTGCGAGCTCTGTGGCGAGTGTTGGATCTCAGCTGCGGAGGTAAGTGGAAATGGTTCAGGAGGGAGGTTCACAGTAACACTTTAATTCAGTGAGTGCAGTCGGAACCCCTTACACATCATACACCATTTATCCTGGGAGCATTGAGTTGGATTTGTGTTGTATAGTCACACCCTCAATTATATAGCATTGGGGCCGTGTTGTGAATTGTAGTTCGATGCCTTAGTTACTTCACTAAGGACCGAACTAGTATATCTCATATGGTTGAGGAATTAACAGTCCAGGGTATATGGTGCAGCAGTGTTTGAGTAGAGAGCCAGTTATCTTCACTAAGCCCAATATGTGTTACATGCAGGTGACACCAACTATGGCTAAGCAGTAATAATGAAGCAGATAGCAGAAGAGCAGAGAGGATGCAAAATGAGACTTCCCCACAAGGTGGCAGTACCAACACTTCCCCTGCATATAGTATGGCAGTGATATACTTGCTGTTTGGTGAGAGTCCAGTCAGGGGAAGTGTATCTGTTCCTTGGTGCTGGAGGTAACTGGAGGCTGGATCAATCGATCAATGGTTCCAGAGGCGGTTCAAGAGGATCAAGGGTTCCAGAGGCTGGTCAAAAAGGGTCTCTGTTCAAGATGGGGTTCCTAATAGCTTGCTCGACGTACTATTTTGCTAGAATGTCGAGCAAGTGTTCAGCCTCAGTTTAAATAGGCAGAGGCAATTGTTGGGGGCGGAGCCGGAGACGAGACCCGACCCGAGCGTCTCCTAGCAACGGGACGCCGCCGGGCCTCGTCCGTCGCGTCACACTGCTTGTGAGAGGAGAGGAGGAGCGCTGCGGAACGGCCGCCCGTCGCCTAGCAACTAGACGCCGATGACGGAGCCGTCCCTGCGCTGGCCTCAGAGTCCGGAACAGCCTGCGTTCCTGACAGCACTCCACCTCACCGGTGATGTCAGGACCCGGTCTCCCCCACGACCAGTCTGGCCGACTCTCTGCGCTGCAGGGCCCTGCGACTTTCATCCATCTCCCGGCCCAGTCCTCCTCGCCAGTGTGCGGCGGGAACCCCCAGCTTCTAGCCCTGGGGCGGTATTTCCGCCCCAAGGGCTGTCCATGGCAGTGCCTGCGCCGGGACGGAGGAGATAAAGAACCGGACAGGCACAGCCATGGACAGCTATCTGCAGGTCTCCAGTAGGCTGCCGAGGTCCCCACAAGCGCGGGAACTCGGACGGCCGCTGTTGTTTGAAAATTTCAAGTGCTGTTATCGGCCTTAAGAATCAGGGCATTTTCACGAGTACAAGTACTCGTGAAAATGCCTGGTATCGGCCCCAATACCGATAATAGTATCGGTATCAGGACATCCCTAGTTGGAACCACTCTTAGGTTCAAATAACTTATTTAGGGGGACTTCTCTTGCTTCCTGTGAGGTCAACAGGGCAAGAAGCATAAATCTCCCTAAGACAACAATAAAAACCTGACACAGGAGCTAACTATTCTACACAATAAAAATATCGTCTGGTGTTGGGCTTGAAGGCTATTTTATACAACTGTTCGGCAGCAGAATGTACCGCTCATAATATGCCTGAGCTGCTATTGGCTCTGACTTTACCTCTTTGTTCTTTTAGGTGGAGAGCAGGTAATAAAGGTCCAAGCACTCAAGAACAAGAAGATTGCTCCAAAGTCTGAGGTTTTACTCCTCCTCAACATACAAGGTTAGATGTCTACCAACAAAGTATCCAGGAGCAAGTATTTTAAAGTGGCTCCGTCATGTGAGAAGTATTTAATTGTGACCTCTTTCTGAAAATGATAGAGGCCTACCTTTCATAGGCTTCAGTCACAGTCCTGCAAAACTGCTAAACCTATTTATCTCTATACTTGTGGGTTAGCAACTCAGACAGCATTGAATTCAAAGTATCCTTGTCCTCTGTGTGCAAGCAATGGTCTCTCTGCAGAGGTCCAAAACACCTACTGAGTTAAAGATAGAGCTTTCCAATCAGCAGTTTCTCACAATGTATATTAGTATCTGCAGCAGGTCAGATAGAGCCCACCTTGTTTCCTTGCTGGGGGACATCCAAGTGATTTAGCTTTTCCTCACTGTCCTTAGTCCCTTACATTTATTGGATTTCATTTCTTTCATTCATGGAAGCTCAGTATTGCAAGTGGAAGTTACCTAGGTTGGTCTGTATCCAAATACAGTTGAGGAACACCCACTCCTTCAGACTAACATCAACCCATCAAGGCATTTCGTTTTTTGAATAACTCCTCTAAAGATCCAGTTCAGGGCTTGTAGTAGGGCTGAGGGATCTAGAGTTATCAGGAAGCTATGTACTGTTGGCCTGTTCCACCAGCCATGATCTGCGTGCATTACATAGAGAAGCAGAGAAGCACAGAAACCCAGTGATGACATTGCTGGTTCTAAAATAAGGTCACACATTTTTCCAATTAAATACAATACAATTAGAAAAATGTGTAAATAAAGAAATACCTCGCTTCACGAACGCTTCCAATTCGGTTCGCAAAAAGAAAGTTCGGCAAAATTTTGCTTCCGTTCGTGAACTCCACATCGTTTGTGAACGGTGAAAAACATGCTACAGCCGTCTTCCCCGCTGCGACACGTGGTCGTGGCTTCCTCTAGTCGCACAGACCGGTGCACACTTGCTGTGAAGCTTTTTTGTGTGCTTTTTAGCACATACAGTAGTGTACAGTATTGGTCGGTTCGCGACCAATTCAGTTCGCAACCAGAATCATGGAACTAATTACGTTTGTGAACCGAGGTACCACTGTATTGGGTCAAAGTGGTTTGAATCTAATGCAAAAAAATTATAAATAGACTCTTAAGTGTTAGGGGGCATTAACAGGCTAACAATTATGTTTTAGGATGGAAATTTAAATATTAAGGCCTCCCTTAAGTGGTTAGGTGAGGTGTTAAAGGGCATTAAGTATCATAGGGCAGAAAGCAGTTTTTGGGAGGGTTCAGTGTTAAGGGCTGATTTAAAGGAGAATTATGAGGCAAGTGATTTTCACTCAGCCTCATAATCTGAGCCGACCTGTGACAATGAAACTGTCACATGTCGGCTCAGTAGATGGGGAAGTGAGCGAACACATAACGGCGCTCGCTCACTTCTCGATCCTGTTACGGCAGAGAGCCGTGACTGTCACTCACAGCTCCCTGCAGGGATTCCCCCCTCCCCTGTCCAATCCTCCAGAGCTGACTGGAGGAACAGACTGAGGAGACGGTGGTTACAGCTGGCTCTGCCTCTAGATAGGCAGAGCCGGCTGTCACTCACGCAGCTGGGTGGATCCAGACAGCATTGTCGGGATCCGTTCCGGCTGCAATGTCTCAGTATACCGCGAGCTGTACCTCACGGTATACTGAGCTTTGGGTGACGGTAGGACGCTAGTTTGTGTCCTCCCGTTACTCTTAGGCAGTGGCGACTCTAGGAACAATATATAGGGGGGGGCACATAAGATACCACAGTCAAATTTGGGGGGTGCACTAATAATTTTCATTGCATGTCGCAACCGCTGGGCGCCGAGAGCCGATTTAATTACGGATGGCATCTGTGCCCTGCGGTTCCGACATGTAGTCCAACGCCACCCACAGTCCTGAAAGTCCAAATTGCAACCCCCCTTACCTTTATCGCAGGGTTCTCCTCCCCAGAGGTTGCTTTTGTTTAAGTTGTGTGGCTGTGCGTGGCTCCATACCGTCTGCAATCGGCTGAAATCCGCCGTACATCGGCTTGCTTCGTGTGGCTTCGGATCATCCGAACATGCTCAGCATGTTTGGCTGACCCGAAGTGCAGAAGGAGTTCGACTCAGCCGATCCTACATCTGGATCGGCTAAGCCGAACCTCTGACAGGCTTCACACTGCTGTTCGGGCTATTCTGAAAGATCTTATTTTTTTTTAACTTTTCTTTTTTATACTTCATTACTGGGAGCAATAGACAGCATTCTATTGGATATTTCAAATTGCAATAGCCTGCTGTCAATCAGCAGAGGAGGGTCCTGAAGTTTTCAATCAGGTCCACCACTGTTGATTGACAGCTGGCAGTGGGCGGGTGCAATAGGCAGCCTGTTATTGGCTACTGCAATTTAAAAGAGCCAATAGCAGGCTGGCTATTGCGGTCAGCTGCTGCAGTAAAGACTGGAGGGGGAGAGCTCACAGACTGTCGGAGGGTTCTCCTTACAGGCTGTAATCTGCAATCTATCACTCACTGCAACCGATTACAGTCTTTAGGGAGAAACCGCTGACAGTCTGTGAGGCTGCAGCGAGGAGAATCCCTGTCCCAGCAGATAACTGTGTGATAACCGGCCCGGGCACAGTTATCTGCTGGGACAGGGATTTCATTTATCTTGCCTTGCGCTAGCGCCGGGACTGCCGCCACTGTTAGCGGGGGGGCACACGGGGGGGCAAGTGATAGCCTGGCCCCCATGTAGCGACGCCACTGCTCTTAGGAGAAGTATAGGGATAAGCACTGACACCATAATTCTCCTTTAAGGGGTTAGGTTGGGAGACATGACTGTTAACGTTAGGGGAGCAGCATGTGTATTTTTTGTCCTTTTCTCCAGAACCTCACATTAAAACTGCTAGAAACTGCTCCAGACTCTCTGAGCCAAGAACATATGTATTGAAGGCAGTGGTGTATTTAGGTTTTGTGCTGCCCTAGGCAAGCTTAGACTTGGGCGCCCCCCCATCTAAATTTGCCCCAACCCTACCTGTTTAAAACATTTTGCATAACCTGTTAGAAGCTGGATACAGCGAGTGTCTGTTTAAATAGTAACATGTGGGCGCTAAGCCTATCATACAGAACTGACTGGCTGGGCAGGCATCAGCCTGGCAGAGCAGTATACATTTGTTGTCAGGGCAGCACAGGGATCAGGAGTATGTAACAGAGTGCAGAGGTTGATGAACAGTGTAGACGGGCGCCATTATTCTGGTGGTCAGTGTGAAGAATGCTCCTTACATGGCTGGTCAGTGGAAAGTGAAAAACGTGCGTTTTATTGCATATTGTATATCTACTGCTAGCAAGCGGTGTATATATAGATCAGCTAGCAAGCAGAAGATATATGCAAAAACATTAAAAAAGTTACTAAAAGGTAAAAACTTACCTGTGTCTCCGCCGGGCGGTCCCGTTCGAAGATTTAAAGATTCTCAGGCAGCCGCAAGGGATGATGGGGCTGGCGCATGCGCAGTAGAGATCTTCGGCCAGGAGAAGAGAGACACATGGTAAGTCAATGCACACGGAGAGACACCGTGGTAGAAAGAAGACACATACTGTATGTGAGAAGTAGAAACTGCCCATCTCTCCCAGAACCTCGGGACAATCCCTAGGCTTCTATGAACCCCTGAGGGCTTGTTCACACAAATTGTATTGCAATCCAGAGCGGGAGCTGCTGGAACGCATGGCAATCGCTTACAAAACGCCCCCCTTCATTCTGTGGTAGCGGTGCATTGAAGTCAATGGCACTGTAGCCACGCCCCCCTGCCCGTAGTTTGATCGGACGCGTGGTAAAACATTTCCTGCGTTCCATTGCACTGCAAACGCAAAAAATAGAGCATGCAGTATTTTTTGCATTTGCAGTGAAAAGGAACGCAGGAAGTGTTGTGCCATGCGTCTGAACGCACTGTGGTGGGAGGGAGCGTGGCTGCAGTTACATTGACTTCAATGCATCGCCACGCCCCCTCCCGCCCCAGAACGCAGGGGGAAGTTTGTGAGCAATTGCGGTGCGTTCCAGCAGCTCCTGCTCTGGGACGCAACGCAATTGGTGTGAACAAGTCCTCAGGGGGAAAAGTATCCACATACTGACCAGCACTGTCTACCTCCATTCCTCTCTAAAAAAGGAAGAGGCCATGTCACATTTCCCATACACAGACATCTCAACTCTCCCGGACGCTCCGGGAGTCTCCCGCTATTAGATAGCGGCTCCCGGCCGCTTTTATTCTGATGACTGCGACTGTCAGAATACTAAAAAAAAAAATCAGAAAAGAAACCCTGCAGACAGCAAAGAAGCTATTGCTTCCTGTGCGATCTGCCATCATTTCAGGGGGGTGCTCTCTCCCAGCCCCCCCTAACCCCCCCTCCGCGGATGGGGGGGGGAGAGGGCACCCCCCTGAAATGAGAGGGACACCTCCCTGAAATTGCTTCTTTCAGGTTGGGATCCCTGCATACAACAGTACAACATTGAACGCTGCTCTGCCTGAACCCACTCCATGTGATTCTCACACATGAAGCAAACTCAGTACTGTGCTCACCCCCCGTCGATCCACTTACCTTACAGGTGACCCCTCTGAACTGTGCTCCCTCCAAGTTTCCCTGTGTGCAGAGCGGGGCAGCCATCTGTCACAAAGTCCCGCCGCTGACGAGAACTCCCGCCGCTGACGAGAACTCCCGCCGCTGACTAGAACTTGTGCCGCCTCCTCCCATCACCGCGTCACTTACTCCGATCACAGAGCCGCTCTTCCCTCACTGCAGCATGATCGGTATTGTGGCCGGCTGCAGTGAAGCAGTGATCGCTTCTCTACTGGGCTCACCCCTCCCGTCATCTGTGCCCGGCACCGCCCTCCCCCCCCCCTCTCCTCCACAAGCAGGCTCCGTGCGTGACACGGAGCTTTTACGCTGTGAGACAGACTTTCACAGTACAAGGCGTTTGCCTAGGGCCGCCCCCCTGGAAAGTGCCGCCCTAGGCAAACGCCTTGTTTGCCTCTCGGTAAATACGCCCCTGATTGAAGGTATTGAAGGGAATTTGAGGGACATAGAGCTGTTATCTGTTGTATCTGATGGGACTTTGTGGGTTTTGTGACAGTAGCGGTAAGTAAGGAACCCCAAAGTGGAAGCAACCCCTCCAACATCTTGTAAAAAAAAATTGTGAACCTTTAAACCAGAGGTTCTCAACTTGTGTGACCTCGGGACCCACATTTGACCTCGATCATTAAGTCACAACTCAAGGCGCACTGCAATGGAACATACGGCATTGCGGTACCGTGCGTTCCAGTCCAGGTGATCGAACTATTGGTGTGAGGTACATTTGGGGTGCCATTCAAATGAATGGCAATGCAACCCACTTCCTCCCCAAAACGCATGGTAGGTGTGATTGCATGGTACAGTACGTTAATCGAATGGGACTGTGCGATTAACGCATTGTACTGGTGTGAATGGGCCCTCAAAAACACTGACAGACACACAAAACCACAGACATATTTATGTTTCTTTTTTTTTAAGATCCATCCAGTCTCCCTACCTTACAAAAACTTGTACAGCTTCCATGCACAACCGTAGAGGTTCCGGGAGCCATAATGTGATGTAACTCCAGGGCATGCAAGGGAGCTGTAAGTAATGCACATATAGATGGAGCTTCCTCGCGGCCATAGCCCCAGCCAACCCCACCTCACATTGACACTCGGCAACAGGCAGCATATTTTGAATGGCTGCTTGGTGTGAGAGCTGACAGTGCTGTGCTAAGTGGAGGCTAAGGAGCATCTAACCTAGAAAAGTGGAAGGCACATGGCCACCCACAGGACACGAGGTCACGATCCACTTTTGGGTCACAACCCACCACTTGAGAACCAAGGCTTTAAACCACAGCTCCCAATAGCATGGATCCCAACCCAAAACTCCAACGATGTGTGGTCAAGTTTTTTATTGCTAAGTCACATCCCTGGAGGAACCCAGAATCATGACTGGTTTGCCAGAAGTGGAAGAGTTAGGAAATCCATAATGCAATAGTTGCAGTGTCCTCCAGCAGTTGAGATATAACACTGGTAAACTTGGATCATACTGAATAATGGCGACCATAGCAAAAGCAAGTAAAAATGATTTATCCAATGTGTCTTTCCTCTTATTTTAGGATCTCCAGTTGCTGATTTTGTAGAAAAATCCATTGATGGTGCTGATCTGAATCATATGATCATAGTACCAGCTGGTTGTGCTGAGCAAAATATGATGGGGTTGGCACCACTCGTCATCACCACCCATTTCCTGGACAAAACTAACCAGTGGGAAAGAGTTGGACTTCACCGTAGAGCAGATGCCCTACAAAAAATGCAGACAGGTAAAGCAACTGAGCCATCTGCTGGCACATATATAAAACCCTCTTATTCGTTTACTTATGTGTTTTTTGACACAAGACCAATTTTCATATAGACACCATAATTGAAGTCTATCTTCATACTGAGCTTATGAGGAAGGTTGAAATCAAGCTTAGTGAGGTGGTGTCTGCATTGTCAGCTGAGGGGTGGGATAGGAAGATACATGGTTAAAAACCCTGCTACCTCCTTCCATTGTAGGACACCACCATCCACACTCCAACTTCTATGCCTGCAAGGAACACCGGCTCCCAAAAGGCCATCCAGTTGGGTCCATTCTTTGTGCTGTATACAGTACAAGTACCCAACTACTGTATATTTATATTTTGGTATCGTACTTGTTTAAGTGTTACTTTTTTTTACAATACAGTTACTCTTGAATTGATAGCAGCGTTTGCTCCAATATTTTGTAAAAAAACCTCTGTGATCAGCATTTTTAAAGGAACCTGTGCTTTGCTCATGCATTGTGAAGCCAAGGGTCCCAAATTAAGTCTCACGTGTTTCAACACAATATATCCAAAAGGTGGAGGACAGCTGATCATAACACCATTATGAACATGTTGGGCATCCCATTCCAACATCATGGCCAAAGTGGTATATAATATTTTGGCCTAAAAGCCTCTACTCTTCTAGAAAGGCTCTCCACAAAATTACAAAGTGTGTGTGGGAATTTGTTCCCATTGAGTCAAGATCAGGTACTGATGTTGGAGCAGCATACCTGGTTCACAGTCAGTGTTCCAATTCTTCCCAAAGGTGTTCAGCAGGGTCCATATCAGGGCTCTGTGCAGGATATTCGAGTCCCTCCATACCAAACTGGCTTAACCATGTCTTTATGGAACTGGCTTTGGACACGTAGGTACTGTCATGCTGAACAAAAAACGAGCTTCCCCAAGCTGTACTAAAAAGCCCACATGTTATGCTTTGTGACAGAATTTGCTAAAAACAAAAATTACGTAATGCCTTTTCACTCACGGAAAATGTGGCTTCCTGTCCTCACAGTGCCATAATCTGTACTGGCGCAGCAGAGTAGTAGCCACATTTTTCAGCACCCTCTCACAGACTTGTATTGCAGATGAAATACACTGAGTGGCCAGATTATTATGACCACCTGACGTTTGTAGGCAAATTAGCTATAATTTTGCGCAGAAGTTGCTAGAGGGCCAGACCATTATAAATAGGGAAGCAGGTTGTTTACCACGACAGTAGAAGTGATTTTTTTCTGAAGATACGGGGAAACAACGCGATTTAACAGCCTTTGAACGTGGGATGATTGTTGGCGCTCGGAGCCATGGAGCGAGTATCAGCAAAACAGCAGAATTCGTTAAATGTTCAAGAGCAGCTGTTGTTAAAGTGTTTAAAGACTGGACTGTCAGCCGAAAATCTGGGTCTGAACGTGCGAATTGTGGCCGTCAGCGACTAGTCAATGTTAGGGCAGAACGGAGAGTGGCAAGACTGGTACAAGACAACAGAAGGGCAACAGTGCATCAAATTACTGCAGATCTTAATCAGGGATCCTCTCAAATGATCTCTGAACGCACTGTTCGCCGTACACTGCATCGTATGGGATATGGAAGCCGAAGGCCTGTTCGAACACCTTTGCTGTCTGCAGTTAACAAGATAAAACGTCTCCAATTCGCACAGGAACACAAGGATTGGACAGTCAAGCATTGGAAAAAAGTCATGTGGTCCGATGAATCACGTTTCCAGTTGCATCATGCAGATGGCAGAGTGAGAATTTGGTGGAAACAGCATGAAAGCATGCACCCCACATGCATTAGTACAACCCTTCAAGCTGGTGGGGGCAGTGTTATGGTTTGGGGCATGCTTTCCTGGCATGATTTGGGCCCCTTAATTCATGTGGAACAACGTCTGAATAGCACAACATACCAAAGTATCGTTGCTGATCAAGTTCATTCTATCATGTTGATGGCGTATCCCAATGGAGATGGCTTCTTCCAACAAGACAATGCGCCACGCCACGGTGCTCGTATTGTGCAGGAATGGTTTCAAGAACATGAGGGAGATTTTACCTTGCTTAGGTGGCCCCCACAATCACCACATTTCAATCCAATTGAGCATTTGTGGGACGAAGTTGAAAGAGCCATCAGGCAGCTGGTTCCACAACCATCAAATCTCACAGAACTGGACAGTGCTATTCATCAGGCATGGTGTCAGATTCCTTGCATCACCTTTCACCATCTCGTGGAGTCAATGCCAAGAAGATTTGCTGCATTTTTGAAGGCAAAAGGTGGCCCAACGAAGTACTGATGTGGTGGTCATAATAATCTGGCCACTCAGTGTATAGTAAAAAGTTGAGTACACTGAGTGTAACTCTGCTGCCTTGTTGATTACTGCCCACTAGCAGTTGTAGCAGCAAAATATCCTGTTGAGAAGACCAGTCACCCCAGGCATTTAGCTGGGCACAGGTGACCAGATTTCTTAATATCCGCCGGCGCCTAGCACTGCAGGGTGCATCTGCATCATGTAGGGTGCACTGCAAACTCCTCTTGCCTGTGTCCTTGGAAGTCAAGCATTAGGGCACGAGAAGATGATGTCAAATGGACTTCAGTGAATGATTTCTACAGACAGAAGAAAGGTAAGTGAAAAAAGGTCCCCAACCCATCTGGAGCCAAGGGGAAGCTCCAGATGGGCTGGGGACCATTGTCAGAATAATTGAGACTTGCCTGGAGATGGAAAGAAAGGAAACAAGCACAGATAACACACACAGGCATGAAACTCACATACAGATATACACTATATTGCCAAAAGTATTGGGACACCGGCCTTTACACACAAATTAACTTTAATGGCATCCCAGTGGTAGTCTGCAGGGTTCAATATTGAGTTGGCTCCGCCCTTTGCAGCTATAACAGCTTCAACTCTTCTGGGAAGGCGTCCACAAGGTTTAGGATTGTGTCAATGGGAATGTTTGACTATTCTTCCAGAAGCGCATTTGTGAGGTCAGGTTCTGATGTTGGAACAGAAGGCCGGACTCGCAGTCTCCGGTCCAATTCATCCCAAAGGTGTTATATCGGGTTGAGGTCAGGACAAGCCAGTCAAGTTCCTACACCCCAAACTCGCTTATCCATGTCTTTATGGCTTTGTGCACTGGTGCGCAGTCATGTTGGAACAGAAAGGGGCTTTCTCCAAACTGTTCCCACAAAATTAGGAGCATGAAATTGTCCAAAATGTCTTGGTATGCTGATGCCTTAAGAGTTCCCTTAACTGGAACTAAGGGGCCAAGCCCAACCCCTGAAAAACAACCCCACACCATAATCCCCCTCCACCAAACTTTACACTTGGCACAATGCAGTAAGGCAAGTACCGTTCTCCTGGCAACCGCCAAACCCAGACACGTCCATCAGATTGCCAAACAGAGAAGCGTAATTCGTCACTCCAGAGAGTATGTCTCCACTTCTCTAGAGTCCAGTGGCGGTGTGCTTTACACAACTGTGAAGGCTTGGATGCAGCTGCTCGGCCATGGAAACCCATTCCATGAAACTCTCTACGCACTGTTGTTGTGCCAATCTGAAGGCCACACGAAGTTTGGAGGTCTGTAGCTATTGACTCTGCAGACAGTTGGCGACTTCTCCGCACTGTGCGCTTCAGCATGCGCTGACCCCGTGGCTGAGTTGCTGTTGTTCCCAGTTGCTTCCACAAATAATACCACTAACAGGTGACCGCGGAATATTTAGCAGCATGGAAATGTCATGGATGGAAATATTGCACAGGTGACAACCTATCACGGTACCATGCTTGAATCCACTGAGCTTCTGAGAGCGACCCATTCTTTCACAAATGTTTGTAGAAGCATCTGCATGCCGAGGTGCGTGATTTTATACACCTGTGGCCATAGAGGTGATTGGAACAACTGAATCCAATGATTTGGAGGGGTGTCCCAATATTTATGGCAATATAGTGTATATTAAATACAATTTTACACACTAATGTAATATTTCTCATAATATCATATAAATAATTTTCCTGATTTTCCTGATTTCCATATTTTCCAATTCACTTTAGGTTATGCCACTCAGATAAACCACCGTGCCAAAGATGGCTCTGGATCATATAACGCTTTCCCGAAGTCAACCAGTGGAACATGGTAATTACAAGCTTATTGTACCTAGTAAGTTAGAAAGGCATTAACCTACGTAGATAACAATATTACCGACTTACCATTCTTTAGAAAAGAGAGACTCTTGACAAAAGATGAATTCACAGGACTGCTCTAACATTAAATAAGGTGTGGTTATTGGTCTGTTGGCCTGGCTGAGCTAACATGGCCTGCTCGCTTTCAGTTAAAGTGTATGTCCCACCAATTTATTTTCCCTTAGTTTTGGAGAAGGTTTGGAACCTCTGTCAGATTTTTACCATTGCAAGACTATCAAACCATGCCACACAGTCTTCTATGAACAGTCAGCGCTGGAGGAACAGAGAGGAGAGGGGGGAATCCCTGCTGGGAGTGATGACTGACAGTCACTGCTCTCTGCAGGGAGAAGTTCAGGAAATTAGTGATCAGCGGTATGTGATCGTTCGGTTTCCATCAATAGAGCTAATGGTTTACAGCTGCAGTGCCACACATCAGCTTTATTATTATTATGGATATGAGTGTACTTCACTCTCCCCACAATTCTCCTTTAAACCTTTGCACAATAATCCCAGTCCCTTTTATATAAAATTGTCATGTCTATTGTGTTTTGCATTGCAGGCTTACAGCATACATTGTCAAAATCTTCTCCTTGGCTAAAGAAGTTATCCACATTGATGATGCAATTCTGTGTAGCTCTGTTAGATGGTTGGTACTTTCCATGCAAAAACCAGATGGGATGTTCCAAGAAAATTTTTCTATAGGTTACCAGTACACAAGGGTAAGGTCATCACACACTATCAAATAAAGTTTATAGTTTTGAATGGTATGGATGACAAATAACATAATGGTGGAAGACTGATGTCATATGGGCGACACTGATGGGTCTGGGTCAGTAAGAGACTTGTCAGTCTATATGAAATTGTTCCCTTGTTAGTAGGGTTGCACAGATACCAAGTACAGTACTCGGTACAAGTACAAGTACCGATACTTTTGAGCTCCAAGACTACACTAGAGAAAAATTCAAAAATTAGGAGGCCGCTGTCATTTGTAAGGAGCACACGGAGCTCCTGGGATTTGTACATCTCTGTTTTATTGTATGATTTTGTTTTTATAAATATAAATAAAGGGATGCACAGATACCCATTTTGCGAGTACGGGTACTGGTACTTGCCGAGTACTTACAAGTACGAGTACTGATACATTTTTGTTTAGTGTCATGTGACAGTTTTTCTAAAACAATACAGACTAATGATTTCAAGACAGTGGTGGAGTGCCAGAGCTAGGTCCAGCTGCAACCGCTGCAACCCTGGTAGTTCTCATGAAAATGCCAAGTATCTGCACTGGTACTCGAAAAGTATCTGTGCAACCCTACTTGTTAGTCATGCCAGAGAGGGGGGCCCTCCATTGCTGCCTGCTTGCTTTGGAAACAGTCGGGGCTGTACCACAGACATTCATCCCTCCTCAGTCATCTCTCCCCCTATCACTGGCACATATCCCTCTCCTGCCAACTCATCTACAGCTGACATACATGCCCCTTTCCATCCTTCCTCCACTTACAGCTCATCCCATCTTGGCTGTCTCACCCTTGCTCACAAATCACTGCATCCCAGCCACCTCATCCTCCATCTACATTTCATCCCTCTTTCCTAATCCCATCCATGCTCACCGCTTCTTGACTACCTCATCTTCCTGTTACAAATTATCCCTCCCTGGCCACTTCACTTTACCTCCACCACCACTCACAATGCTTACCTTACACCTGTTTACAATATATCCCACCCCGGCTAACTCATCTCCTCCCCACCCAGTTTACAGCGCATCCCTTATGCCTGAATTGACCATTAATCTTCAGATTCTGCCTTGACCAAGACCGCTCTAGCATCTCTCCTGCTTGTTGTCAGCTGTTGCTGAGAGGTAGATGGTTTACCAGACTCTGCCAATATGTTACATGTACACTGCTGACTTTTCAACTTGGGAGTTACACATTAAAGCTGAGGAATCATTATAATGCTATGCATTTGTCCTCCTATCTCATAGGGTGGACTTGCCGGTTCCTCGGATCCTGATGTCGCTATCACAGCCTTTGTCACCGTTGCTTTGCTGGAGAGTCAGAAATACTGTAAACATGTCAGCGTAAGTGGATGATACTGGAGCAATCTTTATACCAGTGAACTATGGTCAAATACCTCCTAACTGTATATACAAAATCCTCATATCTTGCTATTACCTCTATGTTCACCATCTAGAATCTGCAGTCAAGCATTGACAAGGCGGTGCAGTACATAACAGAGCATTATGGAAAACTGACCAGACCACATTCAATTGCAATAACTTCCTATGCATTGGCTCGGGCTAGGAAGCTACATGATTCGACTAAATTGATGTCTGTGGCAACAGGTAATAAAATATCTTCAAAAGCATCGTTTTTTTTTAAAGTTTATAGAAATTATCAGGCATTAAATATTAACTGTTGTTGTTTTCCTTGATGGAGTCTGAATGTGTCCTGATCTGTCTTGAGAACTTCTATACATCTTTGCCTACACTCTCGCTTAAAGTGGACCTGCTGTCTTATTTGGAACCTCTAGAGCAGGGGTCTCAAACTCAATTTAGTTGGGGGCCACTGGACACATTTTTTAGTCCCGTGGGGGCTGCTACTATATACGGTACAAGTGTTAATGTGTGCATGTTACAAACGGCAACTGTCACCCATTCAAATGAATGATCGGGTGACAGCTGCTGCATGTAAACGCCTGCACACCGCATGTAATCATATGTGAAAGGATTACATGTAGTTAGGAATCTGTCACTATCCCTGGTTACACAATTGTGTATCCAGAGATAGTGATTGTTTTTGTAGCTGCATGTAATCATATCACATACAATTACATGCGGTATGCAGGCGTGTACATGCAGCGGCTGTCACCCGATCATTAACTTGAATGGGATTCCTGCTGCAGGAAAACGCAAGTTTGTGACACAGCAATCCCTAATCGCACCTGAAATATAGATGGGAATGGGGCCTAATATACACACAGAAAAATACAACCCCCCACACTAATACACCCCCCCGCACAAATAAAAAAATACACTCCCTCACAAACATAATACACTTCACCCCCCCCTTCTAAGCCCCCCCGCACACATTTGATACACTGCC